CTAGGCTGCTTCATGGGAAATACAGGCAGAACACACATGAAAGCTAGGGATTTTCTGTAGGTGTTCCATCAGGGAAAGGTAGTAGGAGCTGGAGAGATGGCTCGGAGACTAAGAGCAACTTGTTCTTTCAGAGGACCTAAATTTAGTTCCTAATACCCACATCAGGCAGCTCACAACCACCTGTAATTCTAGTTCCTAGGGATCCAATACCATCTTCTGGCCTCTGCAGGTACCAGTGTATACATGTCACACTATCACATAGCACACACATGTATACATAAATAAAAAATATGTAATTAAAAATGTAAGTAGTAGAGAAAATGTAAGTAACAGAAAAGTAACAGATTGGGGACCATTGCTAGTGTAAATACAGAGGGTAAGCCAGAAGAGAAGCAAGGGGCAACTAAGAACTTGGATAGTGAGGATGGGGAAGAGAGAGAAATCAAGGACTTTATTACATGGTCTCTTGTCACACAAACCCAAGGCCTCAAACGCTTCACAGCACTGGGTCCAGATACCAACAAGAGAACTCAGTGGACTCTACAGGAGTTCAGATAATGTATTACTCGTGCCATCCTTGGCAGTAGTCGACCAGGAGACTGGGTGCTAGCTAGTGCCTACAAGTGACACCAGTGTGTGTGCATATGCAGAACAAAGTGAAACAGGCCCAGTGCTCAGGACTGCGAGCTGACTTCTAATGGCATATGTCACTGGTGTGGGAGAATTGTCTATAATCTGTCAATTATATTTTAAATAAATGCTGATTGGCCAGGCAGGAAGTATAGGCAAGAATACCAGACAGGAAGTAGAGGTGATGCAATGAGAACAGGAGAATTCTGGGAAGCAGGAAGCTCCCTCAGCCATTCCTGCCCAGACCACTGAAGAAGCAACATGTGAGCTGACAGCTGAAAAAGGTACTGAGCTGTGTGGCTAACATAGATAATGATAATGGATTAATATAAGTTTCAAGGACTAATAAGAAGCCTGATCTAATGGGTCAATCAGTTTATAATCTTATAGAGATCTCTGTGTGATTGATTTTCTCTGGGACTTGTCAGTTATGGGGTATCGGGCAGGGACAGATACCCCAACAAGCCGGCCCCCTCATGTTACAGATGGTGCCCACGAGGATAACTGCATCCACAGAAAGCCTAAGAAAGCTTGGGAAAAAATAGAGTAAAGCATGTTTTGTTGGTAGCAGCAATTTCTCGGGTCTGCTCTGCTTGTTAGAGGCAAGCAAATGCTTTCATCTAAGAGAGGCTTCCTGACTCAACTTTAGCTGCAAAACTTTGTAGCTCCTTTAAGAGGTCCTGCCACGAAACACTTAAACGGTGTTGATGAAAAGCTGGACGCATGCTTTTTGGGTTTTCAGCCATAACAGGAAAAAAGCTGCGCTGTTTTAAAATGCTGGCTTACTGGGCTGTCCTGCCAGGACAAACTCTGACTCTTTCAGGCAGGCAGTCCGACTGAGTGTGGTTGTGAGCAGAATGATGCCGCTTGCTTGCTGGCAGGGACCTTGAAATGCTGTACAGTTGTGATGATAAAAATGGCTCTGGCGGTACCTCTGCCATGAGGCTGGAAAGCTAAGGAATGGGCTGGATCTAGCCGTCAAAGCCACAGCTCTCCATATTGCTTAGTAAATTAAAGGCTCATGTGGTCAGAAAAAGAGAGATATACAGAAAAGAAAGATTCAAAGTCGAAGAAAACCTTTAAATGGTCTACTGTATGTTAAAAATGTATGCAGGCTAAAGGTTAAAGTTTTTAGGGTAAAAAAGGAAGAAAGAGAGTAGTTGGGTGTGGTGGTACACACCTTTAGTCCCAATGCCTGGGAGGCAGAGACGGCCAGATTTCTGTGAGTTCAAGGTGTTGTAGCACACACCTTTAATTCCAGCACTTGGGAGGCAGAGACTAGTGGATCTCTGTGAGTTCAAGGACAGCCTGGTCTGCAGAGTTATTCCAGGACAAAGATATACAGAGAACCTGTCTCAAAAAGTAAAAATAAAAATATAAGAAATAGAGGTTAAAATAAAACCGCACAAAGATGGAAAATACACAGAGAATCTTGATACTGTATGCTATTATGCTCTCTTTGAATTCTTTGAATGCTGAGGAAGGAGCAGCAGCTGCTAAAAGACTTTTGTTTATAAATGCTGGTGAACTAATCCAAGATAGGTATTCTGAAAATACCTTGGCTTCAAAACTGAAGTCAAAAGGTATGTTACTTTGGAGAAGAGATTTTGCTTTTGTTTCCACAGAAAATGAGAGGCTGTGGATTCATTCTGAGTTAAGAAAAATCCAGTTTGACCAAGGGAGACCACCTGAGAAATCTCCGGTAGGAACAGATGGCCCAGATGTCTGAGTTCTACATCCAGAATGGATTCAAGATGCTGCCTGAGATGATCAGGTCTCACAGGATACTCCATTCAAGACTTGATTATAGCTCTGAATTTTCTTTAGGTCCCCATAACATATTCAGCGCCCCCAACCAGCCGGAAGTAGTCTGAAATACTATGCCCACATCCCCAACAAATGGACTATGGGTATTTTCCTTTGTTAAAAAAAAAAAAAGAGGGAAATGGTGCGGGAGAATTGTCTGTATTCTGTCAATCATGTATTTTAAAACGCTGATTGGCCAGACAGGAAGTATAGGCGGGTCAACCAGACAGGAAGTAGAGGCGGGGCAATGAGAATAGGAGAAGGTTAGGGAGGAGGAAGCTCCCTCAGCCATTCCTGCCCAGACCACTGGAGAAGCAACATGTGAGCTGACAGCTGGAAAAGGTACTGAGCCATGAGGCTAACGTAGATAAGGATAATGGGGTAACATAAGTTATAAGAGCTAATAAGTAGCCTGACCTAATGGGCCAATCAGCTTTATAACTTATAGAGATCTCTGTGTGATTGATTTTCTCTGGGACTTGCCGGTTGTGGGGTGCCGGACAGGAATAGATACCCCAACAAGCCAGGTCTCATGTTACATGTCACACTCAGGACTGCAAGCTGACTTCTAATGGCATATGTCACTACTAGCTGACTTCTCATGGGCATATGTCACTTGTCTGCCAGACCTTATCATCTCTGTCTCATTTCTTCAGAGGAACAAACCCATCCCCCATCAGTATTTCCTCTTCCAGCCTGCAGATTCCTGCACAGACAAGGTTGCTATGGCCATCTCAGGCACTGGAATATTTCCCTTGCTCCAGTTTCTGGTACAAATTCCCTGAGATGAGACACCAAATACATGCTGCACCCAGATATTATGGGGACTGTGTTACCCACAGTATAAATAAAGCAAGGCTAAGAGGTCACCAGAAGGGGCTGAGGAGATCACTCAGTCAGTCGAGTGTTTACCACTTTGAATTTGACACTCAGCATCCACATAAAATGCCAGGTATGGTGACACACGCTTGTAATTCCAGGGTTAGCAAACACAGAAGGATTCGTAGGAATCACTAGTCAGCTAGCCTGCCTAAACCAGAGGCCCCTCAGTCCCATTGAGAGACCTATCTAAAAATAAAAATAAATTTAAAAAGACACACAAGGTGGAGCCAGAGGCACATGCCTTTAATCCCAGCATATAGAGAGCTGAAGCAACCGGATTTCTATGAATTTGAAACCAGTTTGGCCTATATAGTGAGTTCTAGGCCAGCCAGGGCCACATAGTGAGACCTTATCTTAAAGATAAATAAATAAAAGACCAGGCAGGTAATTTCTGAAGAAGACTGTCATTTCATCACATTGGCTGGGTAAGTCACCATGGGAGTCCTTACAATCCCATTGTGAAATTCAGAGTCTGGCAACCATCATACTGAGATGTTAGTCAAACTGAAGAACATCTTCCCACGCAGGAAAAGCAACACAGTTATTAGCAGGTGCCAATATGGCAGGTGCTGTACTGTGTGGTAAGGCACATACCAGGGTTCATCATTGTGGAAGAAGTACCACTTGAATGGTCAGCTTTCTGAGATGGGAACACCAGCCCCCTCATCAGGCAGGGACAAAGAAAGGAAAGAAAGGATCAAGATACTGCAGCAAGGTGCAATTATGATGGGTTTTTACAAACATCTCTTTGGAAATAATCCTTGCTAAGAGTCCTACTTTAGTATTGTTAGACCATTTCTCAACATGGTAGAAGGATAACAGTAATATTTAGCATGTCTTCCCTCCCCCACCCTCATATTGGATCACAGTAGCTAGAGGGCTGATGGGATGTCAGTTGATTCTGGGAGCAACAAATTATTGTCATGTCCCTATGCTGGATCGAGTACCCCATCCACTTAGACAGTCCTAATGCTGGAACCAGTTTCAATAGCCATGGCCCCTGCCAAAGATTGGTTGTTTTCAGGTTTTACCCTGAAAAGTCCTCATGTTAAGAAGATGTGTGTTCCACTTTCAGAGAGTGGGAGAGTCCATCCTTAAGATCTACCCCATAGTGAGTGAGTTTGCTTCTGGCTTGTCTCAACTCCAACAGAGTAAGTAGTCAACACCTTAATAACAGTTTCTCACCTATAGTGACCCTAGAACCTCCTGAAAAGTCTTTGTGCCCTGATAAACCTCTCCGCCGATGCAATAATCCAAATCAGACCAAATCAAACCAAATTAGAAAAAGCCCAGGTTTAACAGATACCAATGCTCTTGGGTGGCCTTCCAGCCTCCCCAGATAGGAGATGGGGAAGAAAGACCAAAAGAGTCATGTGTTTGGCCTCTGAGATACAATTTAAATATCCTGTGGGAGTGATTTGAAGCATCTCTGGGGAGTGGTCATCATTTGGCAGGCTTTCTCAGAGGTAGGGTCTGGACTGAGGCAACTCCCAGGGGAGGGGGCTTGGTATGGAACTTCTGCACAAATATCCCAGACTCTTTGGGTATATGAATACCAGGGTCTGGTGTGATGCTTCCACCCAAACATTCCAGACTCTTTGGGTATAGGGACACGGACGGAAGCCTGGCTACTTCCTGAGGGAGTGGAGCGATGTGGGGAAAGGGAGAGTTCGTGGACTCACGCTCATCTGGAAGTATGGCTGAAGAGGCAACTGGTTTACTGCCATCCTGAAGACCTTAGGCATCTGATCCTTGATGGAGATGAGAAGGCAAGTTGCTAGGAGAAAAAATAGATTGTTTTTATTGGCCCTACGAATGGGGTTAGCCGTGGGAAGAGTGATTAACTACCAGAAAGAATGGGTCAGAGAAGCATCCTGGCTGTACAGGAGAGGCAGTGAATGAGATGAGGACAGATATGTCCTTTAAAACCAGATTTTAGTTGCTAGGTAGCTGATCATTTGAACCAGGAGAGGTGGTACCAATGGTGAAGTCTCAGGAGCTGGTGAAGGTGCTGGCATTATCTGTAACTTGGTCTTGGTCCAGATAGGAGTAACCTATAAAATATGCTTGAAAATGGGTGGAGTCAAAATAGGCTCTGGAGACTGTTAGTTTGCACCAGATCAAATTTTTTTCTTTCTTTCTTTCTTTCTTTCTCTCTCTCTTTTTTTTTTTTTTTTGGTTTTTCGAGACAGGGTTTCTCTGTGGCTTTGGAGCCAGTCCTGGAACTAGCTCTTGTGGACCAGGCTGGCCTCGAACTCACAGAGATCCTACCTCTGCCTCCTGAGTGCTGGAACTAAAAGTGTGTGTCACCACCACCCAGCTCAGATCAGATTTATTTTTTTAATATCTATCTATCTGTCTGTCTATCTATCTATCTATCTATCTATTTATTTATTATGTATACAATATTCTGTCTGCGTGTATGCCTGCAGGCCAGGAGAGGGCACTAGACCTCATTATAGATGGTTGTGAGCCACCATGTGGTTGCTGGGAATTGAACTCAGGACCTTTAGAAGAGCAGACATTACTCTTCACCGCTGAGCCATCTCTCCAGCCCCCAGATCAGATTTCTTGATAAAGCAGCAGAACTTTTCCCAGGAACCTGCAGGTATCTGTAAGACAGCTGGAATAGATTTACATCTTGGTGTCATAGCAATAGGCTATGGTTTTAGATTAAAAGGCATGAAGATTTTAGAAGACAATTAAAGGAAACTGGAAACTCTGAACCTCTAAAGATACATCTGAAACCTGTTAACCCTGGACTATAAAGCCTGTGAAAGAGGCACACCTGGCTGTATTTTTAGCGGGAAACTTAACAAATGAAGTAATGAGATACCAGAACCTTAAGTCATCTAATAACAGCAGACAGATCTAAGACGGATAAGTACATGAGCAGAAGTGAGACAGCTTTTTTCAGTTACGCAGGCAATCCCAAGGCTCTCCATAGTCTTTGGCAAACACCAGTGTTAGAAGCAGTACCTGTCCTTAGCTGGCAAGCCCAAGTGGCCTGATGGATTTTCCTGTGGTGGTGGGGCTCGGTCTACCTGTCTTGGCAGTATAAGACGATCAATCTCCCAGAGTAGTGTCCAGAAAGTTGATGAGGTGGAAGGTAGCTTTTTGTTGTTTGGGTGGCTTTGTCATATCCAAAGGCAAGCCTCCAGGCAGAAGGTCTTCTGTAACCATGCATCTTCTCGGAGGAGCTATAGGATGCTGCAGGAGCTGGCATGTCTTTGGCATAAAAAGCTCTTTTGTTAAATGCCATATTCTCAGTTCTGTAAAGGCACTTGAGAATCAGGGTACCACTACCTGTCAGGTATATATAAATTAGACATAAGTTAAATTTATATGTATAATTTACCCAATAAGTTACAGTTTACCAGTGTCAATAGAGGTAAGAAGATTAGAAGGATTATTTTAGTAAACCAAAGTAATTGGAGGAAGAATGTCTCCTTGGTAGGGCCAGCACATGAGGGTACTCTTACCAAAGATGATGTTGGGGTAAAATATGGTGACTAGTCACATGTTTATATTTTTCCAGAGCTGTTATAATCTGGAGTTACAAGTTTTACAGATCTTAAAACAAGCACACATACTCCACAGACATAAAAACAAGTATACTATGGCTACATTGTTTACACATATATATTAACAGACAGACAAACAAAACTTTAGGAAACCTTGTCAGCTGACCAACTTAAAATCCTGGAGTAGGCTGCAGGAGCCAGATGAGCACACAGGTGGTCCCACTGAGGGCCAGATTAGCAGATGCTGTAAAGGAGAACAGAAACATAAGGACGGAACACCTATGCAGTTTTAGAGGGAAGAACAGGGCTAATGGATCCATTGTAGGGAGAATCCCAGCGTGACCAGATCACATGTCAGGAATGCAGACAAACAGCAAACAGTGAAGAGAAGTGGGAAGGGGGTGGGAGAGGGCTGGGGAGGGGGAGGGAGAGCACAGCATCCAAAGATCGTGGCAATTGGGGGGGGTTGTTTATTTGTTCTCATGCTGGCAAAAAAAAAATTTAAAAAGATTTTTTAAAAGACACCCCAAGGGCTTTGGAGACTGAGCCTCAAATTGTAAGTGTTCCTTTTGCAAGTTCATGCCAAGACTCGAAGCCTAGAGCAATGCATCCACTGTGGTAGACTTTGAGTTAAAAAAACAGAGGGGTGTAGGTATTAACTCTTCTTGTTGGTTTAGTTGGTTGGTTTTGGTTTTGGTTTTTTGAGTTTCTATTTAGCTCTTGTAGATCAGGCAGGCCTCGAACTCCCAGAGATCCACCTGCTTCTGCCTCCCGAGTGCTAGGATTAAAGGCGTGCACCACCACCAATCAGCTATCACCCTGCTTTCTTACAGAACCTACTACCAAAATGGATTGGGCCCTCCCACATCAATCACTAAGAAAATGTCCTAAAGGTTTGCCTACAGCTAGATCTTATGGAGGCATTTTCTCAGTTGAGGTTCCCTCCTTTCTGATGACTCTAGTTTGTGTCAAGTTGACATAAAACTAGTCAACAACACCTAGCCAGAGAACCCAAGAATGCTATCCACAAGACAGAGCCTTGGAACTTGTTTGGATTTATGGCCAATCCCTTCTCCTTCAGGTAAACTAGCAATCTTTCTGAGCTAGACTATATCTGGAAGAGAAAGCACAATATCTTCAATGTAATTAAGTATCTGAACAATTGTGGATTTCATTCATTGTAATAGATCAGATAACAATATAGTGGGGCTGTTTAAATTCCCCTGAGTTAAGACAGTGAAAGACTCCCGTGGGCGTCTTCCTTCGGGAGAGACCCCGTACCCAAAGATCAGTCGAAAACACGCAGCCAGATGCAAACAGCAGGAGGTTTATTGGATACGCAGGTACCTGGGACGACAAGTCTCTCGGAGGACTTGTGCGCCTGCAGGTTGGGGGTGAGGGATTCTTATAGGAGAGCAAAAAGCGAGGTTTACAGAAGCAAGATGCAGGGTGGTAAATTCTTAACCTAAATAACAATGAGGGGACTATTCAGCGGTTTACTGTTTCTCTTATCCTGCCCCCCTTTCCTGGCTGGCGACTAGATGTCTGATTGCACAGCCCCTGACTCGTGAGAGCCCCGCTTTATACGTGACTCAGGCCTCGCAATCCTCTCTTTCTTTGTTTCTATGGCCAGTCCATAAATTCCTGTCTTGCAGCCAGATAAGGCTGTCCTTGCCCTAACTTCAAGTATCTTTGCTCAGCATTCCAGAGGCCCTGAATTCTGGAGGTCTTTATTGAAGCTTGTTATCTGCTCAGCATTCCAGAGGCCCTGAACTCCGGAGGTCTTTAATGAAGCTTGTTATCTGCAAAGCTTTGCAAAACGTTATAACTGTGGTTAAAACGAGTTGGGGTCCTTCAACAGTAACAGTCCCCTGGGGCTTTCCCAGGTAGAGGGTTTTTTTGTTGTCTTTTATTTTGTTTTGGGTTTTGTTTTTTAGCTGTTATATCAATGCTGAATAAAGCATGAGCCAAATCCAGCACACAAAGGTTGAGCATGACCTTAAGTGCCTTTTGGCCATTCAAAATTCATCTGTTGTGAATTCTCTGTTCAGATCACTACCCCATTTTTTAATTGGGTTAATTAGGGTTTTAGTGTCTAGTTTCTTGAGTTCTTTGTATATTTTGGAGATCAGACCTTTGTCTGATGAGGGGTTTGTGAAGATCTTCTCCCAGTCGGAAGGTAGCCTTTTTGTCTTACTGACAGTGTCCTTTGCTTTACAGAAGCTTCTCAGTTTCAGTAGGTCCCATTTATTCATTGTTTCTCTTATTGTCTGCACTCCTGGGGTTCTGCTTAGGAAGTGGTCTCCTGTGCCTGTATCTTGTAGACTACTTCCCACTTTCTCTTCTATCAGGTTCAAAGTGGTTGGATTAATGTTGATGTCTTTAATCCATTTGGACCTGAGTTTTGTGCATGGTGATAGATATGGATCTATTTTCATTTTTCTACAGGTTGACATCCAGTTATGTCAGCACCATTTGTTAAAGATGCTATCCTTCTTCCATTGTATACCTTTAGCTCCCTTGTCAAAAATCAGGTGTTCATAAGTTTGTGGGTTAATATCCGGGTCTTCTATTCGATTCCATAGGTCGACTTCTCTGTTGTTATGCCAATACCAAGCTGTTTTCAACACTGTTGCTCTGTAATAGAGTTTGAAGTCAGGGATGGTAATGCCTCAAGAAGTTCCTTTATTGTATAAGATTGTTTTGGCTATCCTGGGGTTTTTGTTTTGCCATATAAACTTGATTATTGTTCTCTCAAGGTCTGTGAAGAAGTTTGGTGGGATTTTGATGGGAATTGCATTGAATCTATAGATTGCTTTTGGTAGAATTGCCATTTTTACTATGTTGATTCTCCCAATCCAAGAGCAGGGGAGGTCTTTCCATTTTCTGGTATCCTCCTCAATTTCTTTCTTCAAGGACTTAAAGTTCTTGTCAAATAGGTCTTTCACTTCCTTGGTTAGAGTTACCCCAAGATATTTTATGCTATTTGTGGCTATCATGAAAGGTGATGTTTCTCTGATTTCCCTCTCTGCTTCTTTGTCCTTTGTGTATAGGAGGGCAACCGATTTTTTGGAATTGATCTTGTATCCTGCCACATTACTAAAGGTGTTTATCAACTGTAGGAGTTCTTTGGTAGAGTTTTTGGGGTCGCTTATGTACACTATCATATCGTCTGCAAATAACGAAAGTTTCACTTCATCCTTTCCAATTCGAATCCCCTTGATTCCCTTATGTTGTCTTATTGCTATTGCTAGAACTCCAAGCACTATATTGAAGAGGTATGGAGAGAGTGGACAGCCTTGTCATGTTCCTGATTTTAGTGGAATGGCTTTGAGTTTCTCTCAGTTCAATTTGATGGTAGCTGTCGGTTTGCTATATATTGCTTTTATTATATTCAGGTATGATCCTCGTAAACCCAATCTCTCCAACACCCTTATCATAAAGGGGTGTTGAATTTTGTCAAATGCTTTCTCAGCATCCAATGAAATGATCATATGGTTTTTTTCTTTCAGTTTATTTATATGATGGATTACATTGATAGATTTGCGTATGTTGAACCAACCCTGCATCTCTGGGATGAAGCCCACTTGATCATAATGGATGATTTTTCTAATGTATT